AATCTGGCGGTATATTTTTAAATATTTTTAAAAAATTATAATTTTTATTGCGATTTCCGACCCCCCCTAATTAATTAAACATATATATAATAAAATCTATTAATTAAAAAATTAAAAAACTATCGGAGGTCATTTTTGACATCAGAAAGCAGCTTTAAATAACTTTACCGAAGGAAAATTGGTGCACTACAACTTTAGAACGATTAATTAATTTTGATAAAAAAAACTCCCATTAAAAAAACATTAAAAGGCGATTAAGCCTTAATCGAGCCTTAACAAAGGCTCATTAAAATCGCAATAAAATTTTTTCGCACTGGCAAAAAATTCTGAAAAAATTTGGGGACCTAAAAAACATTCCAAAAATTCAAAAAAAAAAAATAATTTTTTCAAAAGTGGCCTTAACGACTGTTTTTTACGTAACACTATAAAACTTGCTCGCATCACACTCGAGTGCGGCTCAGAAGGGGTCAATTAAACACTTTTATCTTCAAAAAAACTTTTAACCCTAGATAACTAATCATTCATCCATATGACGATGCACCTCTGCTCAAAAGTGAAATTCACAAACTTCCCCGCACTTTCTGCCTGTCATTCTTTTTCTACCTTAATAATTTGAATAAACAGTCCAGTGTGTGATGCAGTTCACACATCAGTTAGAAAGCGACTTATGTCTATCCTGTAGTCTGCTCAACGAAAGTTTAGTTGCTACATAACTTTGTTGCAAAGGCATGTAGTACATTGTTATGGCTGCAGATGTAAACAGTAAGTTGGTAATAAATGCCATTCCATATTTGGGAAAAGGCACTGATCCTCAGAAGCAACCATTTGCTATGTTTTTCAGAAAGGAAATAACATCTATTTTACATGGAACCAACTGTAACATTAAATAGGATAACTGGTTCACATCTGTATCTTTGGCAGATGAACTATTGAAGTCACCTTATAGTATGACTTTACTTGGCACTCTTAGAAGTAACAAAAGAGAAATTGCTGAAAAATTAAAAAATTCTAAATCACATGCTGTTAGTAATTCAATATTTTGTTACGACAGCAATAAGACATTAGTTTCGTACAAAGCCAAGTAAAATAAAGTTTTTTATGTTTTGTCGACTATTCACGATCAACCTAACATTAATGAAAATACAGGAAAACCACAAATAATACACTTTTATAATAGTACAAAGGGTACGGTAGACACAGTAAACCAAATTTGTTCAAATATGAGTAATAACAGAAAAACCAAAAGGTGGCCACTGTGTGTGTTTTATAATATGCTAAACCTATTGGCAATCAACAGCTATGCTATCTGTTTCTACTACGTTAGAAACAAAAAAATTGATGTCTTGGAGGGATTTCTTTATGAAGATGGGAGACCAACTCATGAAGCCCCTGCTATGACAGTGGTTACAAACGGGTGACTTTGAGGCGTGACATCAAAACCATGATACAGGATATTCTAGGTGATGTGCCCAGTGTAGAAGCTTCTACTCATTCTGTGTCAAATCCACGTAATATATGCTATTTATGTCCATCGAAAGCTCGACGAATGACAAAACACCATTGCATGAAATGAAAGAATGCAATTTGCGGCCCCATAATGCTAACATATGTAGCAACTGTGTGTAATCTTATTTCCTAAATATTTTGTTCTTATTTAGTTCCTACTTACTCATACTATTGTGCCATGTAACAAGTTCCTATTTTTATTAAACAATTTTGTTGATATTAACATTTTTTAATGCATAGTCTGCTTGACAAATGTTTAGTTATAATGTAACTGAGAATTAAGTTTAGTTATCTAGGATTAAGACTGAAAGAAAAACTTGTTAGGTTATCAAAATCTACCTCATAAACAGTTTGATATCAATAAATAACTCAAGAGATACTGTTTACTTTAATGACAAAGAAATATGCAAACACAATACAACTTAAAAATTGCTAGAATTGATACTTTCTACAAAATAAATTTACTATCACTGGACCAAAAATTAGAGTGCAACAAGAGTTCTGAATGATATTAAATTTGTTTTAATAAAATAATTTTAAAACTCTTTCAATTAATAAGTTATGATTTCTAAAACTTGGTGTCAGAAAGTAAAATTTCAAAATATATTTTAATTAAATGACAAATGTTTCTAATCATTTATAAATGAATATTAATTATAAGTGAAATTAGTTAGCTTCTAGACTTAGTCAGTTCAATAATTTTATTAACATTGGTTATGTGGTGGTTTAGAAAGTTTGGATTTTTAAGGAAGTTGGAAATATTTTTTTTTCTCATATTTTTTACAATGTTTTTGAATTCAGTAATTTTTATTCTACAACTTACAATTGAAGTTAGTACCATTATCATTTTAAAATGATGCTTCTGGAAAATTATAATTTATAAAATTATGTAGGAAAAAATATTGTTTTTGTACAGATTATCTTTAATTTTTGAAATTTTAAAATAAATATATAGTCTAAAAACTTTCTTTTAATAGTAAAAAATATTCTATTTGTAAAAGGTATTCTTAATTGGTATTTGGCTTTTATTCAAGTAATTCGTAATTCAGTTTGTTGTCTTAAGTCGCCAAATTGACTGTAAATCTCTTACTTCATAGTAGAATTATTTTAAATACACTTAAATAAGTTTTTAAAATCTTTTTATTATATTTTAATACATTTTTGTGTTTGATTTATATTTGACATGTTTTTGATTAATATTTATACTTCAAATAAACAACGATCTACAATTAACCAATAACTGGTGTAAAATTCTTTAAAAAATCGGAGAACGTTTTTGATTCCCCTCCTGGGATCTTCAGGCTTATTTTTATACCTTTCATTCTAACTGGATTCTTTAATTCGAATGCTTTTAAAATTTGAAATATGCCATTTTCTGAAAAAAATTCTGAAAGTGGAAGGAATCCACGTGCTATTTCAAATATAATTTTCTACCAATGGGGATTCATTGTGTGCAATACCTCATATAAATTTATCTTATAAAATATATTATGATTAATCGTCAAGTAAAAATTGCCATGCTGCAGAGAGATTTATTTCTTCTTTAAAATTAATGCATGCAGATTTGCAATTGGTTTTAAAGATTTCCACTGCCTCCAAAGTTCCACGTGGATTCCTTCCACTTTTGGAATTTTTTTTCAGAAAATGGCATATTTCAAATTTTTAAAGGCATTCGAATTAAAGAATCCAGTTATAATGGAAAGTATAAAAATAAGCCTGAAGAAGATCCCAGGAGGGGAATCGAAAACGTTCGTCGATTTTTAAAGAATTTCACACGGTTACTGGTTAATTGTAGATTGTTGTTTATTTGAAGTATATACAACCTGGTGTCGTGAGAAAGTAGATTAATATTTAAATCATTCTTTCTTTTCTAGTGTGCATTGGTCACACTGAGAACACTATATGTAATTATTATGTGAGTACAGATTTTGTTTTTATTTATATATAAAATTTAATTAAAATACTTTTATATAAAAATAGAATAAATTTTCTTTACAGTTATGCCATTCATTTATGGGACATTAATCATGAAGGTGTTTGGGAAAGAAGAGCTACTTACGTTTATTACACTGAATTAATTTTTGAATTGACTGCTTTAGTAATTGATTTTTTCCATCATCTTCATATGTTGGTAAGTATTTTTGTCTGTGTTTGATAACTAACTATGATAAAAGTTTGAAACTATTTTTAAAAAATTTTTCTAGTTGTGGGGAAATATATTCTTATCAATGGCAAGTTTAGTTATATGTATGCAGTTGAGATATCTTCTCTACGAGATTAAACGGCGTATTAAACGTCATAAAAATTACTTGAGAGTCGTGAAACACATGGAAGCAAAGTAAGTTTATTTTGTGCCATTGATTTCTTGCTTTTTATTTTATTGTGGTTTTTTAATGAATTAAAATTTTATTATAAAATTGTATCTTTATGCTGATGCTCTGTCTTGAATGAAAAAAGTTTAGAATTTTTGAAGAGAGAAAAACAGCTTAGAATTTTCAACTATTAATTATTAACAATTTTGCCATTAAACTGCTAAATATAATGAATTGATTTTACTATTTTGTTCTGTATGGATTTATTTCCTATTAAAATACAAAAGACATGTGGACTGTTTTCTAATTGACTGACATATATCATGTAGTCCAATTTTTCAGTTGAAGAGGAAAACTTCTTTTGAGCTTAAGTCTCAGGATTGAGAACTAAGTTTTTTATGAGAATGTGGAAAATAAAGCACTTTGAATACTTAATGAAATAACATAAAGTTTAGATTATTGACATTTTAATGGGAACATTGATCATTATGCTGGTTTATTAAAGAATTACACATGGCAGAATGATAATGAAACCCCACACTTGAGAAATAACAGTGATGCATGCCAATTATCAGCTTACATTGGGCTGGATGTGGCTCTTTGTCCACTTCTTAGATCATACTGACATACATTATCAGTTTTAAAAACTCTGTCAACTCAATTAAAATGACAGATTAATAGTTTCATTTCATTTGTTTAATTTTTAAAATGTTTTTTTTTCAAAGTGTTAGAAATTAAAACAATATATATATTTTATTTTAATTTAAAATGTCTAGTCTAATCTATTTTTAATCAATTAACATTGAATTTGAAAGTTTTGACAATTCATTTTATTCAGCCAAGTGAAAAAAATTATCATTATCATCAATTAATAAATGAATGGATCTAGTTGTGTTCTCTACTATACTGAAAAATTTTATTTACTTTTGTAAATAATAAATGAATCTACTTTACATATGTTACAAGAACTGTTGATAATAAAGTAGATTCATTTAAAATGAAAAATTAATAAATTATATTAAAGATTTGAATCAGTTAAGATTTTAATAGAAATTTATAAAATGTAAATGGCTATGACAAAGTATTCCCACATTCTTTTGAACTTGTAAATTACTGATTATTATCTACCAAATTATTTAATAATAACAATAAATTACAGGACTGTTACTTTTTATTTTGTTAACTGATTAAAACTTTGGATTAACCTTATAATAATAAAGTGTTTTGAAAAGTATATTCCTGTACAAAACACCAATATTGTGAGGGAACTTGTAACATATCACTCATTAATGTTTCTTTAGAATTATGAAATTTATTTTAAATATTAATTATATGTTAGGTCTCACAAGTCTACAAGGTTAAAAAAATTAAGTAAACTATTAAATCATTTTAAGTGGCTGATACATAAAACTTATTGGAATATTATAAATGGGATAAATTTTTACTAAAATTAGTTTACATGAGATATGCTAATATAATCTTGCTACTTTTAGATTTCCGATGGCAACTCCCGAAGAAATAGAAGAAAATAGTGACGATTGCGCAATTTGTTGGGATCGCATGGAATTTGCCAGAAAATTGCCCTGTGGCCATCTTTTTCACAAGTAAGCAGGATTATATTGTTTGGTTATTTCATTTATTATTTCACTTTATTTTTACACTTACTGTCATCATAAACTGTAGTTCCTGTCTACGATCATGGTTAGAACAAGATACTTCCTGTCCAACGTGTAGAATGGTTCTTAGTGGTGATTCTGATTCAAACAATAGTAACGAAAGAGAACATCACAACAATTTGTTACATACTTTTGCCGGTCAAGAAGATAATACAAATCGCCCTGGCAATCAAACCACTAACCATTTCTTCCATTTTGATGGTATTTTATGTTTTTTTTTTTTTTTTTAATTTGGAAATTATTTTATTGGGTTTCATATTAAAATTTTTACACTGACTACTTTTGCCAAGGTTCTCGTTATGTTAGCTGGTTTCCCAGTTTTTCGGTCGAAGTGACTCACACTAGCCTTTTGGGTGAGAGACAAGCGACTGCTATACAAACATCGCAACTTGATAGCATGGTATGAGAACTAAAGTTTAAATTATTGAATTATTTTATATTTTTAATAAATTTTTTTCATTTCTACAAGCTATGAATTAGGTGTTTGTAGTATGAAAACAAATATATGATTAATAAATTTCAAGGCCATACTAATTACTATGTCATAATGAATTAAGTACACACATTTGCTTGAAAATTTAGTGAATTTCAAACTTTAAAAAAATTAAACTAATGAGGAAGGTAACCAAATGACTACCTGACTTTTAAATAGTATATGTTTAAAATAAAATTAAACCTGTAAGAAATAACAAAAAATCCTTGATCCAAAGCAGTTCCTAGAAACAAGGAACCAGTTTTAAACTATTGGATTCATAGACTCCAGTGTAAGAAGTTCCTTTTTTCTTCAAAACTGCTCAGGAGTGAGGATTTTTGATTATTACACATTTAATTTTGCTAATTTTTATTATAAATGCGAAATATTTAAGTCGGGTAAATATTTGGTTGCCATTTCCTTTTTTAGTAGTCTGTATTGGATTTACTAATTTCAATAAATTATTATTTATTATAAACAGTTGTTAATCTTAAAGAACTATAAACTTGAATAAGTCAAGATGGATATTTTTGTTTTTAAATTTGGTATTTTCTTTTTAACATAAAATTTTAATGCAATGNTCGTAATCGCTAAAAGCACTATTAACCGAGAGCGTTTTCTTTTTGGCAAGTTATCCTTATCCTCTGAGCATTTTTCTGCATTATCTTCAGATCCATGCTTTTCCTTTTGCAAAAAGTATGTGGTTTTAGATTGCTTGTTTCTAGTTAAAAGATCTTTATAAATTTCCTTATATGGTGCTAAGCACTTATGAAGAATAAAGCAAGTATGGAATATGGGAAAAATATCTGGCAACATCAGAAGAAGAAGCATCACGATCTGGCAACATTGAAACAAATTTTGAGAAGGATCACATGTATGGACAGAAGGTGAGAAAAGAAAATTTACATACTTAAGTACTAGTAGTTCACAAAAATAATAATTTTCGTGAACTATTATTACTTAAATATGTAAAAATTTATTACATTTCATGTTGTACGAGGGTTTTACCCAATTCTCGAACCATGTCAGAGTGAATCCGTGTTATATGGGGGTTACCTGTATTTTAAATTAAATAAATTAAAAATTGTAGCCTGGCATTGTGTCAATGTCACAATAATTTTTGCTTGTTGCACCCTAAATTCTCACCAGTTTTTAAAGTGATGAAGTTTTGTAGCATCTCTCTCATTCTTGTTCTGAGGTGTTACTCTGACTCATTTTGTACTAAATGCTGGAGTTTTACATCAGTCTTTGGTAACATGTCATGTCCATGTGATATCATTACTACCCTGTTTCACATATACTAATTACTTTGCAAACATGGCTCTAAAACATATGGATAGTGATGCTGGTAGTTCTGATCAAAGAAAAGCCATAAAATGCCTACTTTAAATGAAAAAATTAAAATTTTAAATTTAGTGAGAAAAGACAGTTTTCTGCTGAAATTTTACAGTATCATATTGTCAATTAATATACCATTTATTTGCCTTATCTATGTTTTAAAAAAATATGCAATAGGTGTTATACTTAATAATAGATTTTGCTATTTTATGCAAATTATGTAAGCTGTCGTGGAACATAATGGTCACATGTCACAGGTCCCTACCATATACCTGTATAACAGTTTGTGAAATAAATACTTCTTCACAATATAATCATTTTTTAATTCTTTATTTCTTTTTTCCAGCACATCAAAGATAAATTTTGGAATTTTATTTTCTACAAGTTTATTTTTATTTTTGGAGTTATGAATGTCCAGTTTATGGGAGAAGTTATTTTATGGTGCAGCTGGTTTACTGTATTGGGCTTCCTACATCTACTTGCACAACTTTGTAAAGATAGGTTTGAATACGTAAGTATAAAAGTGTTTAAATTTTTTTTCTTTATTATTCATTTTATACATTGAAGATAGTTTAATTAAAGTTTTTTATTCAGTTATTTCTTTACCAAAAACTACTTATTGGACAGCTTTTTATAAGTCATTTTCTCTATTGAAGCATTGGAGTAAAATAATCTGTCCCAAAATACAGAATGGTGATTTTGTACTCAATTAAGGAATTAATTAAATATTCAATTATTTCAAGAGTTATTAAAATTTTCTTGTTATCAATACTAATAATCAGATACAAAATTTTTGTATGTATGTGTAATTTGTGTAGTATTACCATTTTCCTGTAATGATTGAAGGATTTATTACCAGTTTATCTTGAATGAAAGATTGTCTGTATTAATCATGACTGTTTTTAGAAACAATATCCTTTAAATCTACAAATCAATGAACATTTCTGGATTTAAAGAATATTGTTTGATTGGTGAAAAGAATTGTGTTTTTATATGCAAAGTAAACTTAATTTTTTTTTGTTAATCTCTGTAATATAAAAGGAACAAATTAATGATGTTTTATCTCAATTTAATTTACTTCTATTTAGTAGATTTCAGATAAGTTTTTTTTTTTTTTTTTTGGAGAATTTCTAATTATGGTATATAGAGGTTTAATTTTGGCACTACAGAAGCAAAAATACGTGTATTTTATGAATTAAACTGTATTTTTTCCCTGGAGTTTTGGTAAATTTGAGATGAAGTGAATAAATTTGCCCATCTCTGTTGGGCCACAAATTAATTCACTTCATCTCAAATTTAGTTTGTTCATAAAAAGACCATTTGAAAAACATTTTGATGAAACATACCTCTATTTCTCTTCTGTTAAAGTTTATTTTTATAAAAGGGAATTATTGTCTGCATGTACGCATTTAAAAATAAAATGAACTTTAGAATGGCCTTTTGAAAGACACAGTAGAAAAAAATATATATCTTTATATTATACATCACTGTATAATACAAAATAGAATCATATACAAGGGCTTCCAAAAAGAATTCTGCCATTTTAAGTTATTGTAACTATGCTAATTATTATCCAAGAACATTGTAATGTAATGTACTGTACACTAAAACAAATTTTACACTTGTCCATTACGATTTCTCGTGTGCACCTCAGCACGCATCAGACATACTTGAATTCTTCTCGTACTTGCTACAGAATATCTGTTGTCATTCCTCTCACCGCAGCCACAATTCTACAAATCCTTCAGATTACTCACAATGCATAATGATGATTGATTCTAATTTTCTACAAAATGCATTCAGTGTTGCAGAATTGTCATTTTCATTTATGGCACTTCCTAGAGATAGTAAACAACAAAACAGGAGGTGAAACTGGCATTCATTTTGGAAGGACCTGTATATGTAATAAAAAATGTAATTGTTATGGGAATTATATAATAGAGCAGAATTATATATATATATATAATATTTAAATTTTGATTTTTCTTTAGCTTTCCTTCTCACCAACTACTCCAAAGTGGACACACATCCGTCTCTTAGCACTTCTCTCCTGTATATTATTAATCTTCTCCAGTCTTTTTGGAATTTGTGTCATGGTTGGATTTCATGCAGGAATTAATACTTTTGCTTTTATGGCTACAGAGGTAAGTAAAAATATATTTCTTTGACATAACCTATCCTGATAGATTTAATTTGAGTTACAGTTAAAAGATAGGATTACTTTTGGATTAATGTAGATCAAATTTTTGCTTTTAACCCCTTTTTGTCCACTTTTTTAAAAAAATTTTTAATTAAACATAAAAAATACTTAAAACTGAAAAGAAATGCGTTAATTTNTAAATAATTATAAATAATAATTTAGTAATAACTGTTGATGGTTATATTGTTAGCTTATATATGCTGGAAGAGGAGATCGGACTGAAGGTCCAGGTTGCGTAATTAGCATCTTGGAGGATGAAATTAGTCATGATTCCAATACTTTCTCTTGTTATGTATACAAAAACAGCCAGGGAAAGTAAAACAATATTAATTTTCAGATATTTTTAAATGAATGCAGAAAAATTACTAAAATTGAACTGTTTCATATTTAGGAAAATGGAAATGCTCAAGCTATTGCAAGTACTTCGAGAGAATATTTGGAAGCAGCGGATACAGCTGAAAACTTGTCTCTAGTTCCTTATGGAGAAAATTCATTTGAATCTGTTTGCGAGAATGAGAGGTATAGGTTTGACATTGTTAAAATCAGTGCTGTTATGTAAAGCTTTTAATTATGTATTGAAGGTTTGATTGCTAATGTCTCCACTTTTTACAAAAATTAGTCAGTTGCAAAATAATACAGTCACTGTTCTGTAATCACTATATCAGTGTATTTCTATTAATAGGACTTATCATACTGGGTGTATAAGATTACAGCCTCACAGTTACACAGATTAAAATTGTTTTATTTTCAATTACCTGGTAATTGAAAATAAAACAATTTTAATCTGTGTAACTGTGGGGCTGTAATCTTATACACCCAGTATGATAAGTCCTATTAATAGAAATACACTGATATAGTGATTGAAAGAATAATTTTGATTAAATTAAGGACATAGATGCATATTAATTAACTGTTCTGTAAATTTACATTTATGAAAAATAAGTTTAATTCTTTATAGAAATAGTAATAAGTATCTTTTATATTTGGCATAATAGGTAGTAGTAATTTCTTTTCTGTAAATGTGTACAATGAAAAAAGAAAAAGGTGGTGGTGCTGGTTGCAAAATGATGATAGCTACCCTCAGTTTGCAAAAGTTTTCCATTCACATTATCAAGTTAATGTGCAAATTAATCAACAAAATATTTCATGAAATCTTCCAGAATAAAATTTAGTTGAACATGTTCTCAAGGTGTTAAGATAGTTTCATCATGAATTAGATATAATGCATATGAAACACTGTTGATTTTTTTTCTTAAATTATAATTCTCTCACAGCTACAAGATGGCACTAAGTATATAAAGTAAAATGGCATCTAGTGAGATGGTGTACATTGCTGTGTATTGTAATAATTTAAAAAGCAAAAGTTTTGGTTTTCTTCTTAAATTATCACCAATTTACTACTAAATAAATATATTTCATAGAAAAATACGTCACTAAATAACCTTATAAATAAACAATGTAATGTTCTGAAAAGTAACATTAATATTTTATATTCATTTTCCCTGAACAAGATTCTGAGCATTATATTTAATTTTCTTTCACGACCACTAGAAGACAGCACAAGATCCAATTTTAATGCAGTCTAAACAACTTTCATATCTATCTTGTCTAATCTGTGACTTCTAAGTTTGAGAATAGAAAAATTATAGCCTTTAAAGATAAAGAATTATCTGAAGAAATAGCGAGAAGAATTGATCAGTTGCTATGAGATGAAGTCTTCTGGTAGACCAAGAAAGCTTACAGGGAGGTAAGAGGAATTGGAAACTCAATTCTGGTGGACATCTCTGGCACAAATGTCTTGTGATCCAGATATTAATGTTCACAAGTCTATCTTATCAAGCATTTTTGACTGTAGTAAAATCTAAAGTACAAGAAGAAAAAAACATTGACTTACAGAATAACACAAGAACAGAAGCATGGTATAGGCAAAAGAATGCATACCTCAGATGGGCAAATGGAAGAGAGATATCCTTGGCGACGAGAAGAAATTTGATGGTCTCAATGGCTTTTACTGGCATGATCTTAGAAAAGAGAAACAGATCTCCAGGCGACAGCAAAAAGAATGATCGGTGATGTGAGTGGTGTTGGTTATACAGTAGAGTCTCGAAAACTCGGCCTGATGTGGACCGAAGGGTGGCCGAGTTTGTGAAAATGCTGGGTTATCGAGAATGGGCTTAAAAAAATAAGTATGAGTGTTTCCTCAGAAAATACTGTACTGTACTTGTATGTATTGTTTACTTGAGAATACAACAGAGAATAAACTGCCCAAATACCCTTAAACAAAGGAAAAGTACAGCCTTTATGAAGGCACAGAGCCTTTACTACATGAAAATGAAAATTAATNTTTTATTATAAATGCGAAATATTTAAGTCGGGTAAATATTTGGTTGCCATTTCCTTTTTTAGTAGTCTGTATTGGATTTACTAATTTCAATAAATTATTATTTATTATAAACAGTTGTTAATCTTAAAGAACTATAAACTTGAATAAGTCAAGATGGATATTTTTGTTTTTAAATTTGGTATTTTCTTTTTAACATAAAATTTTAATGCAATGAATATATATTGTGTTATTTATATGTGAAATAACTATTCTAAATTGAAATCATTTGATTTTTTATAAAACTGTTAGCTCTTGTTCTGAATTTATTATTAAATCCTAAAGCAGTACAATAACTTTTTGCCATATGAAGAAATTTTTGATTTACTTTTCTGTTTCTTTTCATCTGACTTGTGCACTGCTCTAAACAATAACTTCCTTTTTTCATATATCAAATAGTCTTTTATTTTTAATTCATCTTTTTTTTTAATATTTTGTTTCTAAATGAAATGTAAAGAACATGATTAGCATTGTCTAGAATTTAAGTTTTCAGCAGCCAGTTCATTTGTATTCTGAAATATTTTATATAGCATTCCAATAGCTGTGAAGTATTGTATTTCAACTTCAATACTTGCAGCACTAGAAATGTTTAATAGATAATAATGAGAAAGGAATAAGTAGCAAGAATTTATATATTTTGATAAATTAGAAAATAATTGCATGGTGATAAGTGCAACTCTCATCTTTTGATTTCTTCCAAATAAGCTGGAGATAATGATTAGAATCTATTTGTAGCATCTCTTATCAAAATTTTCTCATTGAATTGTTTGATACAACATAGTTAAGAGCTGAATCAGAAGAGGAGGAAATATTTTTTCCATTACTATTACATGATAAAAGGAAACAACTTTCTTCAAAAGCTCACAGTGGGATGGCCAAGTGTTGAAGGGTGGAACCTGATATATCTGGGCAGAACACATCCCAAAAAATTCCTGTGGTTTTTTTACTCATCTTCATTTGATTCCTAGGTCACAGGAGCAGTAGGCTGTCACCTTAACTACTTGACCATTCAGCTTTCATGACTCTGTTTACATGTTGTTTTTGTGGAATCAGTTACTCACATAAATGGGAGGATTACTGTAAACTGATTTTATGGGGCATATATAAATAACATATGTAGAAGAGAATATGTAAATAACTCTGTATAATTTACAATAATCATAAAGTTGTCAGGCTAATTTAACAACAATTAATATTAGAATACTTTATTCTATTATTGTCAACTGAACTTATTGTATTATTAGGACAATTACACTGATATACTGGTTATTTGCAAAAGGAGTTCTTAGTCAGAAAAATAAAGTTTTTTTTTCCCCTCTTCCCAGGGAAAACAACAGGTGAAATTAATTAATATTAGAAAATTTTGTCATGTGATATAAATTACATAAACTAATAACAGGTATTGTCAGATGTCAAATGAATTTAAAAAGAGAGCCAAGAAGTATATACTAAACATTATTAAAAATATATGGTATAGAATTATAATAATAGTTTCTCAAAATTTGTACAAGACTGCTAAATTTTCATTCCAGTTTCATTCATGTTATGAAATGCATGTCCTTAATTAAATCTAGCTGAAAAATTCAAAGTTTACATCTCCAAATTGTTGTTCAGATATTTATCGAATGTGTGTATACCGATCCAAACTGCACCAAAAATATATTTTTTTAAAGGGTTAAATTACTGTTTCCATACTTGATTAATTACTAATATTTATTAAAAGTAATGAAATTATAAGATATAATTAAAGCTTCAGAATACATAAATACTAGTGTCTTTCCATAGTTTTCTTTATTGCAGCAAGTTTTAATGAATATATTGAAAGCTGACAATTTTACTTCAATTACAAATTATTATAGTGAACATTATCTTACAGACATTGCATTATTTTGGGCTACAAATTAATTTAAATAATTTACCAAAAATAAAATTATTTAAAAATTTATGCAGGGCGCTCTCTATGTATGTTCATTTGAATAATTTCTTTGTGATGAAAGCAGAATGAAGTTTGGTTATTGATCCATAAATCATGTAGGTTTGCAGGAAAAGTTACATATTTTGGGTAATGTATATGATACATATAAGTAAAAGTGGTTTTTACTCTAATATACATATTATTGATTGTATCTGTATATTGTCTGCTATTGTGTAATTATATGCAATATTGCATTGTTTTGTAAAAATATGCTCATCTCATCAATGTTACTCACATATGCTAATTGCACAGGGTCAATTAGCATATGTGATACTGCAATTTTAAATAATGTGTAAGATACAGTAAGACCCCACTTAACGTGGGTGATGCATTCTAGACAACAAAGCACTAAGTGAAACAGCATTAAACAAGGTCATTTTAACATAGAGTAAATAGGGATGGGGGAACACATGATAAAAAATAAACTAATTTTAAGTTATATTATTATGCAAATTAATATAAAAATATGTTAAGTAACACAAACATATGCACACAGAAATGTAAAGTTCACTTTTTGTGTGGAAGGTCCTGATTTTTCTGAAATTCTTGTTCTTTTACAATAAAGTTGTGTAGTTTCATTTGTTGCTTTTTTTTCTTTCCTTAAGCAAATGTTGGTAGCAGGAGATTGCATCCAAAATGCCTCGTTTTGCTTTTGCACTCCTTTCAAAATCTGGATTATTCGTTACTATTTGATCAACGATTTCGGTTATCTTACCAAACTTTTACTAAGGAAATCTGTAGAGAAATTTTTTGGGTTTTTTGTTTTCAGAAACTCCATTTTTCAGTTCCACGTGAATTCCATGTTCTGCCAGTTCTTGAAGGTCGTCGTTGGTAAGGCTCTCACCAGAAACCTGCGGTAACTCCTCAATATCCTGTTTGTCTACATTGCCTAATCCTGTTGTTTCGATTAGGTTGGGTTTGGTCAACCTAACGATACAATGATAGGCTCTTCGCGTCAAGAATTCTTGAGTACCTTCAGCCATAACTTCTTCCGCACTTCATTCGTGCATTTATCAGTTAATTCTTGCCAAGTGAAGTCTATATTTCCCATGGCATCCATGATGATGATATTTTTTTCCAAAATTGCACCAAACAAACATAGATTTAAAGAAAGTACACCTTTTTGCCATCTTTTGCTGATTAGTTTATGTTCTCAAATAATTGTATTATATACGAATCAAAGAAATGCCATGATGATTTAAATTAATTTTAATTTCGAGTTTTTTTAGGCTTTGAGCTGACCAAGTTATATCAAATCAGCATTAAGAGAGGCAGTGTTAAGTGGGGTCTTACTGTAATTTTAATAGAATCAATCTGACTTTGATTTTGTACCATAAACATTTGTCTTTGTGGTTTTTTGTTTTCTCAGACATTTGAGTATTTTAAATATTTAAAAACCAAGAAATCTGTCTAATTTTCATTTTGTAAAAAATAATTATTCACAAAATGACAGGTGTGCAATGGCCAGTTTTAATGTTAGACAATTATATTTTGTAACTTAATCTAAATGTATCTATAAGTGAATGCATAATATTAACATTGGATATGATTAATTTATATTTATTTTTCTTTCAAACTTTTACAGCCAGTTTAATCCTGCTCTGACCTCACAATATATTTAAAAAGTTGGCACCATTGTGTATGAATACTTAGATAACTTGTCTCATAGAATGATAGTCTTTAATACTTACTCATATTACATAATGTTTGGAAAATGAAATATTTTATTATTTATGATATATAGAAGTGATAACTTTACAATAATTAATTTTTAATAATAATTTGATAATTTTCATTTTTAGGCTCGTGAAGTACAAATGATGTTTCCAAATATGCCATTTGGCTTGATAATGGATGATTTAAGAGTAACCCATTCAGTGGAGCAAACAGTTGAGAATATTCTTGACGAGAGACTCGTTCCTCCGCCGGTAAATCACTTTAAGTTTTGCTTTTAAGAGTTTCTTTGGTATTGATTTGAAACTGTAATTAAAATAAATTTTGCATATTTGAACAAAAGAGAAATGCAAATTGTAAATAAAATGGTAAACTGTTTTTGAAAATATTTAGGAAGAGTGAATACATAAACCATTTTTCTGTGTCCAAATTATTGTTCATTTTTATACAAGTAACATCTATATTTGATAATCATTAGGCAAAATTTGCATTATGGAAGTGTGTGGCTTTTTATGCCAGATCACATAACTCTAACTGTATCGTTTAGTAGAATTGAAGGTTTTAATGTTAACCTTTCAACAGTGGACTAGTCGGGTATGGTTCTACCCCCAGTAGTGGAGAATAAACGTGGGAAATTTTTAAAGTATTTTTCCATGCGTTTTTTCTCATTACTGTTTCGGAAAAAGATTTTATAAACAGTAATGTCTAGTAAAGAAAAGTTTTTTTATTGTTACATAATTCATTTTTTATGTGAATTTTTTTTCATGGTAGGTTTAGGCTAGTTTTTGGCGATACCCCCCCAAAAGAATTTGACAACTGTAGCCATCCCTCACCACTGCCACACGATCGCCCTTGGCGACTAAAGTCATCGCTCACTGCTGAGTGGTTAATGCAAAGAAACCTATATGTAAAATAAAGTACATTTAATTAGCCAGACAATATATTGATACATTAAATATTGTAACAAAATAGAAGTTATTTTATTGTTATAAAGCAGCTCGCCTCTTCCAAACTGCAAAAGTTAGATCTGGTGCAAACAGAATATGCTTTAAGACATGATTTTCAGAGTATGTAATCAAATTTACTCCAACATGAATAGTTTTTATGTTATACAATGTAATTTTCAGTCCTGCCTTCTGTGACTGTGACTACTAACATTGGTGTACTAAGACATTTTAATCATTCTTATTGTTCCTTAAAACATGTTTAATCTTATATGATTATCTACAAAAATATATTAATGTATGTTTTTATTTTATTATAGTAAATAAAAAAAATTATCTGTGACAAGGACACAAAGGACAACAGTTGTCATCTAGATATGACTGGCCTTGACAATATGAAGCAGCAGTGTGTTAAATATGTGTGGGAGTCGTATTTGGCACACTATTAATGTTATTTTTGATTCTTATTAATTTTATTGTTATGAAAACAAACACCATACGGATAAAACGAAAACATAATCTTGGATTGTATTAGTAAAGTTGCTTACAAGTATTAACAGATGTAATTATGAACAAACTACCTACCATCTGTTTCATTACATCTTAATAGTTCATGAAATCAAAGAAATTCCTTCCCTGTTATGTTTTATATTTATCTTTCTTATCAGCAAGTTGATAAATTATGCTTTTAATAAGATTTTTTAGTTAAAAAAATGAAGCAATTTTTTTCTTGCAGAAAGTATACTGTTTGAATTGTCATTTGCAGTTTATACTTATACTAATTAATATTTTAAAAAGAATTGAAGGAACTAGTAGGTATGATGAAACAAATGCTTACGTACACAAAATATCCTGAAAAATAGTTATGTACATCAGATGCTAGTATGAAACTAGATAGGCAGTTTTTAAATTTTATATTTAAATAAGATAATAGAAGTTTAGTTTTAAAAACTAGTACATCTGTCATGTATTTTTATATTATTATAACTTGNAAAAAAATAATAATTTTTTCAAAAGTGGCCTTAACGACTGTTTTTTACGTAACACTATAAAACTTGCTCGCATCACACTCGAGTGCGGCTCAGAAGGGGTCAATTAAACACTTTTATCTTCAAAAAAACTTTTAACCCTAGATAACTAATCATTCATCCATATGACGATGCACCTCTGCTCAAAAGTGAAATTCACAAACTTCCCCGCACTTTCTGCCTGTCATTCTTTTTCTACCTTAATAATTTGAATAAACAGTCCAGTGTGTGATGCAGTTCACACGTCAGTTAGAAAGCGACTTATGTCTATCCTGTAGTCTGCTCAACGAAAGTTTAGTTGCTACATAACTTTGTTGCAAAGGCATGTAGTACATTGTTATGGCTGCAGATGTAAACAGTAAGTTGGTAATAAATGCCATTCCATATTTGGGAAAAGGCACTGATCCTCAGAAGCAACCATTTGCTATGTTTTTCAGAAAGGAAATAACATCTATTTTACATGGAACCAACTGTAACATTAAATAGGATAACTGGTTCACATCTGTATCTTTGGCAGATGAACTATTGAAGTCACCTTATAGTATGACTTTACTTGGCACTCTTAGAAGTAACAAAAGAGAAATTGCTGAAAAATTAAAAAATTCTAAATCACATGCTGTTAGTAATTCAATATTTTGTTACGACAGCAATAAGACATTAGTTTCGTACAAAGCCAAGTAAAATAAAGTTTTTTATGTTTTGTCGACTATTCACGATCAACCTAACATTAATGAAAATACAGGAAAACCACAAATAATACACTTTTATAATAGTACAAAGGGTACGGTAGACACAGTAAACCAAATTTGTTCAAATATGAGTAATAACAGAAAAACCAAAAGGTGGCCACTGTGTGTGTTTTATAATATGCTAAACCTATTGGCAATCAACAGCTATGCTATCTGTTTCTACTACGTTAGAAACAAAAAAATTGATGTCTTGGAGGGATTTCTTTATGAAGATGGGAGACCAACTCATGAAGCCCCTGCTATGACAGTGGTTACAAACGGGTGACTTTGAGGCGTGACATCAAAACCATGATACAGGATATTCTAGGTGATGTGCCCAGTGTAGAAGCTTCTACTCATTCTGTGTCAAATCCACGTAATATATGCTATTTATGTCCATCGAAAGCTCGACGAATGACAAAACACCATTGCATGAAATGAAAGAATGCAATTTGCGGCCCCATAATGCTAACATATGTAGCAACTGTGTGTAATCTTATTTCCTAAATATTTTGTTCTTATTTAGTTCCTACTTACTCATACTATTGTGCCATGTAACAAGTTCCTATTTTTATTAAACAATTTTGTTGATATTAACATTTTTTAATGCATAGTCTGCTTGACAAATGTTTAGTTATAATGTAACTGAGAATTAAGTTTAGTTATCTAGGATTAAGACTGAAAGAAAAACTTGTTAGGTTATCAAAATCTACCTCATAAACAGTTTGATATCAATAAATAACTCAAGAGATACTGTTTACTTTAATGACAAAGAAATATGCAAACACAATACAACTTAAAAATTGCTAGAATTGATACTTTCTACAAAATAAATTTACTATCACTGGACCAAAAATTAGAGTGCAACAAGAGTTCTGAATGATATTAAATTTGTTTTAATAAAATAATTTTAAAACTCTTTCAATTAATAAGTTATGATTTCTAAAACTTGGTGTCAGAAAGTAAAATTTCAAAATATATTTTAATTAAATGACAAATGTTTCTAATCATTTATAAATGAATATTAATTATAAGTGAAATTAGTTAGCTTCTAGACTTAGTCAGTTCAATAATTTTATTAACATTGGTTATGTGGTGGTTTAGAAAGTTTGGATTTTTAAGGAAGTTGGAAATATTTTTTTTTCTCATATTTTTTACAATGTTTTTGAATTCAGTAATTTTTATTCTACAACTTACAATTGAAGTTAGTACCATTATCATTTTAAAATGATGCTTCTGGAAAATTATAATTTATAAAATTATGTAGGAAAAAATATTGTTTTTGTACAGATTATCTTTAATTTTTGAAATTTTAAAATAAATATATAGTCTAAAAACTTTCTTTTAATAGTAAAAAATATTCTATTTGTAAAAGGTATTCTTAATTGGTATTTGGNTGTGGCCATGTTATCCGGACTGCCAGGTTATCAAGTGCCGAGTTTTCGAGACTCTACTGTAGTGGTAAAACAAGGTCAAACAAAAGCCACCAACTATCCAGTACCCATTAGAAGAGAATCTTTTGATATTTGAAGTGATTGGTGAACAATTCTGGACATTTCAGCAAGACAATGCAACTATACATATTGAAAAGTCTACATAGGAGTGGTTCTTGGAAAATGGAGTTTATATTATGGAATGACCAGTCTATTCACCAGACTTACCCCGTGAAGACCTTCTGGGGAAATTTGTGCAAGACTATGTATGCCAGTGGTAAACAGTACAATCACATTAAAGAACTGAAGAATGTCTCTGCATGGAGAAAATTGACATCTCTTCATTGCAGAAGCTTGCAGAAAGCACGTATAATTGGGTAATTAAAGTTATTTTTCTAAAATGTTTAATTGCTGGATATTAAAATCTGTGCAACAAATTATTATTTGGAGAAACATTGAGAAAAGAAGACTTAAATTCAATGACACCACGAATCCTGGCAGAAATGTATGTACAGTACAAAGGTTTCACACAGTTATCAATGGTACAGCAATGACACAAACAAAACTTTTCTTTTTTCTAAGATCATTGAAAATTGAAGTTTTTTTATTTTTTTAATTTACTCCTGTAAAAATTAAGAATTGAATCATATTCAACAACACAAAAGATATAAAGAATAAAAATTAATCAATTTTTGTAATTTAGAAAAGTTAGATGGGCATGATTTTCTCAGCATTATTGATAGGTCTTAAATTAATTAAAATACCTTTCGCATCTCTAAACAATGTTTGTCGCCCTGTGAAACAAATAACATCCATTTTCACTCATTAAAGAGATGTGACATCTTTTTAACACGTACAGGCACAGATTTGCCATTACACATGTGCACAATTTATTTAAATTAATAAAGTGCTAATGAATGTAGCAAATTATTAAAATTTAGGCATGTGTTGCAACACATGCACAACAGTAGATGAGGAAAGAAGCAAACATGCTGATATTCTAGCACTGCATAGGTATCCACTTCCCCTGCTGCATTTACAATCACGTTTTCAAATTTTCTTTTTATATATGTTTTAAAATTATAAAAATATTTTTTAAAGGGCATTAATGTGAAGTGGCATATATAATGCAACATTAAATTGAGGTATACCTGTACTACTAAGATATCGAAAATTGAAAAAATTTGCTAAACTTAACATATTTGCAATTTAACTGTTCAAAAATATTAGAAATTCTGAATTTTTAAAAAAATTCAATATATGCAGTATAAAGGAGAGTGCATAACACTGTTTACCTTGGAAAAATATTTTCTCTAATCAAAGGTATTTAATTTAAGTAAATTTAATTTGTTCACTAAAGTAATTATATTAATTATTTTATTGTAGTGTCTTTATTTCTTTAATTATAAACTTTTCACTTTAAGTTTGTATGTTTTTAGGGAGACTGATGTTGCTCCAAGATCAAGCATGTTGGGTTGTCGATTCTCTAAATCTTCCCAGGAAAGAGAACACATGCTTCTTCGCAGAAAGGAGGATATGATAAAATCAGCAAGAAGGTATTTATTCTGTCATTTCATTTATTTCTGAAAGTTATATTAGAACATTCAACGAACACATTTGTTTCCCCAAAAGTAAATATTTAGCAAAAGTGCAGTCTTCTAACAAGGAAGTATCCGTCTGTCGTCCGTTGCCTTTCTTCCATTCGGAGTCGCCGAACAGAAATTTCGAGGACGATCGCGAGACGTGAGATCCCCATCCATTCTACCAGCACATACGATATGCAAAGAGACTGAGGGGAGGAAGACCAAGCAAATATAAATATGCGGGTAAAAAGAAATCATTTAAGTGCCCATGCGAATCCAAATAGATACAAATTTGAGTTAAGCACCATATGGGCTAGTAGTTTGTGTTTAAATTTGTTTCGTTTACTCACTGTGGCGAGTCCCTCGTGTGTCTATGATGCAAACGGCTAGCGAATCTTGGGCGGCAAGATTTTTTAAAGCTTTATTTAAGCTGTATTTTTGCCAGATCCACATGATCACAATAATTTATACTGTATATTCTTCCTACATGATAAATTGCAGTTGTCATTTTATTTTGCCAAGCTTGCTTGTTTGCTTTTCTCTCCCTCTCTGTATTGTCATTCCAAAATTCTAATTTATAAACCCTAGAAGGGCCCAAAAGATTATCATTGATTTCAAATCTAAAGTTCTAGTCATAAAAAAAGTAAACAATTAAAGATTTATATTTTTTGTTTTGTATTACAAAATTTTATTAAAATTTATTTACTTGCATAAACACATTTTTTGTTTTTTAATGTCATAATTTATATGTGCACATCCCATCTTTCAGTTGGCTTCCCTTCGTGCTTTAATTGCAAATTACTTCTCCTGTTTAAGCTATTGTTTTTCCTCCATGTTTTTGTATAAAGGAGGATTGTGCGTATCATTTTGCTTCCTTTTTAATTTTGAAATTATACATTTTTTACATACTTGATATAATTTCTCTTGTCCCAATAATGGAAATTGCTTCCTTTCCATTACCCCACTTCTGTTTTCGCTAAGGGCATAGCGCTTTCGGACCTTTGTTATCGGGCAGGTCTTTTTCTTCTTTTAGTAATTGACAAAGTATTTTAAAAAATGTGCAAAAGTGCCAACGTTTAAAACCTTTCGAATCGATGCACACATCTCAATGATTAACAATACCGAACAAAGTACAATTGTATTTGATACTATTGTTATTCTATATCCCATTTCAGAACAAACAAGTTATTTTTCAAATTTAAAAAAAAAAAAAAAACAAATGTTTCCAATTAATATTCTGCGGCACTTTTAAAACAAACGTTTATGGCATAAATGCCATTGCACAATCGTACCAGAAATCTATGGCGTGTGTACGTATGTATGGTACATAAGTATATACCTGACTCTTCCTTTCACGGTTCAAGTATAATTTAATGAGTTAAAAAACAAAATCTTGATACGTTAACATAGTTAAACCCACTCAAAATACATAAAATTCCTCATAAAATCATATCCAATAGGAGGAACTTGGATAATACTTCGAAAACACTTAAACAGCATTTAACTCCTCAACAGCATTGCCATTCCTTGTACATTTCTACTTTTCGGGTACATTTTGCCCTTTCAAGTACATTGAAAGTACACTTACATTTTTAGTACATTTTGAGTAAATTATAATATTTTAGTCCCATTTATGGTAAAAATAATATTTCATGCCTTAACGAAAAAAATGCAAAAAAATTAGTTTAATAAAGACTCACTAGTGTCACTGCTTGCTAATTTGGTTTACCCAATCACAATATACACATGGTGTATATTGGTCGACATCAACAACATACAGATAGTTGCACATGCAAATGTTATGACTCGGTGGTCCTCTTTCACAATTTTCAGTCGTCTACACAGTCTCACGAGGACCTTGACAAAATTTTTACGCCACATGGTCCAAACAAAAATGATGGACAGATAAGGTAATCAATGATTTTAAACTTTTGTCATCAATAATATCAAAATAGCCATTAAGTCAGAGTCGAATTATTACACAAAATAGTTTTGAAATTGTACAGCACAAGTATAAATAATATAAATACTTTTATATTATTTTCTACCACNTGCTGCAGAGAGATTTATTTCTTCTTTAAAATTAATGCATGCAGATTTGCAATTGGTTTTAAAGATTTCCACTGCCTCCAAAGTTCCACGTGGATTCCTTCCACTTTTGGAATTTTTTTTCAGAAAATGGCATATTTCAAATTTTTAAAGGCATTCGAATTAAAGAATCCAGTTATAATGGAAAGTATAAAAATAAGCCTGAAGAAGATCCCAGGAGGGGAATCGAAAACGTTCGTCGATTTTTAAAGAATTTCACACGGTTACTGGTTAATTGTAGATTGTTGTTTATTTGAAGTATATACAACCTGGTGTCGTGAGAAAGTAGATTAATATTTAAATCATTCTTTCTTTTCTAGTGTGCATTGGTCACACTGAGAACACTATATGTAATTATTATGTGAGTACAGATTTTGTTTTTATTTATATATAAAATTTAATTAAAATACTTTTATATAAAAATAGAATAAATTTTCTTTACAGTTATGCCATTCATTTATGGGACATTAATCATGAAGGTGTTTGGGAAAGAAGAGCTACTTACGTTTATTACACTGAATTAATTTTTGAATTGACTGCTTTAGTAATTGATTTTTTCCATCATCTTCATATGTTGGTAAGTATTTTTGTCTGTGTTTGATAACTAACTATGATAAAAGTTTGAAACTATTTTTAAAAAATTTTTCTAGTTGTGGGGAAATATATTCTTATCAATGGCAAGTTTAGTTATATGTATGCAGTTGAGATATCTTCTCTACGAGATTAAACGGCGTATTAAACGTCATAAAAATTACTTGAGAGTCGTGAAACACATGGAAGCAAAGTAAGTTTATTTTGTGCCATTGATTTCTTGCTTTTTATTTTATTGTGGTTTTTTAAACAAGTTAAGTATTACGAAAATATTTGAAAAATATTTCTGTATTGTAAAATAGTGAATAGTAATTGTTAACTGGTTTATTTGATATTTAATCGTGTACGGTTTAATTTATTTTATCTGAAATCTTATTATCGGCTCTTCGGATTATCCACATTGGATCTGACACGAACATATTGCCACTGAGGGATCAAAGAGAAAACACTTCTCCCTCAAGTACTGGTAGTTAAATACAGTATTACTACATCTACTAGTAATATATCACACCTCCTGATATTAATTGATTTTGTAAATACAATATTTATAAGAATTAATAAATTTTTTTATTCTTNTTTCCTTTTTTAGTAGTCTGTATTGGATTTACTAATTTCAATAAATTATTATTTATTATAAACAGTTGTTAATCTTAAAGAACTATAAACTTGAATAAGTCAAGTCTTGCTTTTTATTTTATTGTGGTTTTTTAATGAATTAAAATTTTATTATAAAATTGTATCTTTATGCTGATGCTCTGTCTTGAATGAAAAAAGTTTAGAATTTTTGAAGAGAGAAAAACAGCTTAGAATTTTCAACTATTAATTATTAACAATTTTGCCATTAAACTGCTAAATATAATGAATTGATTTTACTATTTTGTTCTGTATGGATTTATTTCCTATTAAAATACAAAAGACATGTGGACTGTTTTCTAATTGACTGACATATATCATGTAGTCCAATTTTTCAGTTGAAGAGGAAAACTTCTTTTGAGCTTAAGTCTCAGGATTGAGAACTAAGTTTTTTATGAGAATGTGGAAAATAAAGCACTTTGAATACTTAATGAAATAACATAAAGTTTAGATTATTGACATTTTAATGGGAACATTGATCATTATGCTGGTTTATTAAAGAATTACACATGGCAGAATGATAATGAAACCCCACACTTGAGAAATAACAGTGATGCATGCCAATTATCAGCTTACATTGGGCTGGATGTGGCTCTTTGTCCACTTCTTAGATCATACTGACATACATTATCAGTTTTAAAAACTCTGTCAACTCAATTAAAATGACAGATTAATAGTTTCATTTCATTTGTTTAATTTTTAAAATGTTTTTTTTTCAAAGTGTTAGAAATTAAAACAATATATATATTTTATTTTAATTTAAAACAGCAATAAGACATTAGTTTCGTACAAAGCCAAGTAAAATAAAGTTTTTTTTTCCCCTCTTCCCAGGGAAAACAACAGGTGAAATTAATTAATATTAGAAAATTTTGTCATGTGATATAAATTACANCATTGATGGTGTATGATGGTGTATTAATATTAAAAGTAACCAACCATAGAAATAAGTACATTTTGAAGGAAAATCGTACATTTTTTGAAGGATCTTCAGTACGTTTTGAAATTTTATTGTGGCAACACTGCCCCTCAAATACATTCCTCCACAGTTTAAGATATTAGTACACAAAGTAGCAGTAGTATTTTGTTGATTATCGCGCATTTTCCACTTATGTACACGTACTTACGTACACACACGTCACACAGTATATTATATATATTGTAGCGTATCTATATTTACTGTGTATCAACACAAGATTAAAAGTTTTAGGAAAATGTTTATCGTAATTATCAGTCCACTACGGAGTGTTGAAATTACGGAGAGGTCGGGAAAGTCAGGTAATATTCTGCTCGTTACGTTTATAAGAGACACCCAAATTGTACCATACGAGATATATAATGCAATTTTTAAAGTGGTTAAAAAATAGTTGTGATTAAAATGATGTAAGAAATAATAATAATAAATATACTTTAGTAGAATTGAAGGTTTTAATGTTAACCTTTCAACAGTGGGATAGTCAGGTATGGTGATATCCCAAAGTAGTAGAGAATAAACATGGGAAATTTTTAAAGTATTTTTCCACACGTTTTTTTCTCATTACTGTTTCGGAAAAAGATTTTATAAACAGTTATGTCTAGTANACATTTTTCTTTCAGTCTTCTTTATTTCAAGGAGTTAGAAGCATTTCTCAAACTTCGACTAATCAGGTAAAGCAAGTCCTTCAACAAGTTGCATAACTTTCCTGGCTGTTATGAGATTTTATTTAAAAAATAACTTTTGTATTAATTATAAAATGGCAAAAGCTTAATTTTGAGGGTAGAAATGAAAAAATGAAATGAAATTTTAAAAAATTGTAATTGCTAACAAGAAAAATCTTCATTAAGTCCAACCTCACCAAGATATGACACGTGACCATCCTCTATTTCCTCACTACCTCGACCTTTACCCTCCAAAATTTAATAACATTGTTGCTCCTTATACGCAAGCTAACGTGTCAAATTTTATTTCTTAATCATTATCTCATCCTGAGATATAAAATGGAAATGGATGCCAACAAATGTTCACAGATTTTTTTTCAGGGGTCTCAAAGTGTGGAGATTTTCAAAAGACTTGAAGGATAACTAATCAAACATCTTTACTATACCTGATACAATTAAAGCTGTCCATCAACCAAAGCTGAATATTATCAGGCTAGAAACGGGTGTAATACTAATAATTTAATAGACAATTTGGCATTAGAGTTAGGCGTTAGGTGCCATCTCTTGATAAATTTAATAATTATAAATTAATTAAATAATTATAAATAATAATTTAGTAATAACTGTTGATGGTTATATTGTTAGCTTATATATGCTGGAAGAGGAGATCGGACTGAAGGTCCAGGTTGCGTAATTAGCATCTTGGAGGATGAAATTAGTCATGATTCCAATACTTTCTCTTGTTATGTATACAAAAACAGCCAGGGAAAGTAAAACAATATTAATTTTCAGATATTTTTAAATGAATGCAGAAAAATTACTAAAATTGAACTGTTTCATATTTAGGAAAATGGAAATGCTCAAGCTATTGCAAGTACTTCGAGAGAATATTTGGAAGCAGCGGATACAGCTGAAAACTTGTCTCTAGTTCCTTATGGAGAAAATTCATTTGAATCTGTTTGCGAGAATGAGAGGTATAGGTTTGACATTGTTAAAATCAGTGCTGTTATGTAAAGCTTTTAATTATGTATTGAAGGTTTGATTGCTAATGTCTCCACTTTTTACAAAAATTAGTCAGTTGCAAAATAATACAGTCACTGTTCTGTAATCACTATATCAGTGTATTTCTATTAATAGGACTTATCATACTGGGTGTATAAGATTACAGCCTCACAGTTACACAGATTAAAATTGTTTTATTTTCAATTACCTGGTAATTGAAAATAAAACAATTTTAATCTGTGTAACTGTGGGGCTGTAATCTTATACACCCAGTATGATAAGTCCTATTAATAGAAATACACTGATATAGTGATTACAGAACAGTGACTGTATTATTTTGCAACTGACTAATTTTTGTAAAAAGTGGAGACATTAGCAATCAAACCTTCAATACATAATTAAAAGCTTTACATAACAGCACTGATTTTAACAATGTCAAACCTATACCTCTCATTCTCGCAAACAGATTCAAATGAATTTTCTCCATAAGGAACTAGAGACAAGTTTTCAGCTGTATCCGCTGCTTCCAAATATTCTCTCGAAGTACTTGCAATAGCTTGAGCATTTCCATTTTCCTAAATATGAAACAGTTCAATTTTAGTAATTTTTCTGCATTCATTTAAAAATATCTGAAAATTAATATTGTTTTACTTTCCCTGGCTGTTTTTGTATACATAACAAGAGAAAGTATTGGAATCATGACTAATTTCATCCTCCAAGATGCTAATTACGCAACCTGGACCTTCAGTCCGATCTCCTCTTCCAGCATATATAAGCTAACAATATAACCATCAACAGTTATTACTAAATTATTATTTATAATTATTTAATTAATTTATAATTATTAAATTTATCAAGAGATGGCACCTAACGCCTAACTCTAATGCCAAATTGTCTATTAAATTATTAGTATTACACCCGTTTCTAGCCTGATAATATTCAGCTTTGGTTGATGGACAGCTTTAATTGTATCAGGTATAGTAAAGATGTTTGATTAGTTATCCTTCAAGTCTTTTGAAAATCTCCACACTTTGAGACCCCTGAAAAAAAATCTGTGAACATTTGTTGGCATCCATTTCCATTTTATATCTCAGGATGAGATAATGATTAAGAAATAAAATTTGACACGTTAGCTTGCGTATAAGGAGCAACAATGTTATTAAATTTTGGAGGGTAAAGGTCGAGGTAGTGAGGAAATAGAGGATGGTCACGTGTCATATCTTGGTGAGGTTGGACTTAATGAAGATTTTTCTTGTTAGCAATTACAATTTTTTAAAATTTCATTTCATTTTTTCATTTCTACCCTCAAAATTAAGCTTTTGCCATTTTATAATTAATACAAAAGTTATTTTTTAAATAAAATCTCATAACAGCCAGGAAAGTTATGCAACTTGTTGAAGGACTTGCTTTACCTGATTAGTCGAAGTTTGAGAAATGCTTCTAACTCCTTGAAATAAAGAAGACTGAAAGAAAAATGTATTTTTATCAAATATTTTATTGAAATATAATTTATTGAAACAATAAAAAGTAAAATTGAATATTCTTCTAAATATCACTTTTGGATAGCTGTTATTATGTACTATGTACGTATGTCTCTTTAATCCGACATTAAGTTCGGTCGACTATCATTATAGCTTAAAAGCTGTAATGATAGTCTACCGAACTTAATGTCGGATTAAAGAGACATACATACATAGTAAAACTGAATATGTTTTAATTATTGAACTCATCCAAAACTACATGAGAACCTTTAAAACTTTAATGTAACAAACCTATTTACAATAAGATTCAAACATGGTTAAATTAGTTATTGATTTTCACTTGAAATTCATAAAGTAAAAATTAATACAACCATTTTTAATTACAAAAAAAAAAAATAATAATAAAATATAAAAGAACTAATAAATTTAGATCCATAGAACTTTTTACAGAGCTAAAAATCTATAACTTTATAAATTTTATCTATTTACATTATTCAAGTTATAATAATATAAAAATACATGACAGATGTACTAGTTTTTAAAACTAAACTTCTATTATCTTATTTAAATATAAAATTTAAAAACTGCCTATCTAGTTTCATACTAGCATCTGATGTACATAACTATTTTTCAGGATATTTTGTGTACGTAAGCATTTGTTTCATCATACCTACTAGTTCCTTCAATTCTTTTTAAAATATTAATTAGTATAAGTATAAACTGCAAATGACAATTCAAACAGTATACTTTCTGCAAGAAAAAAATTGCTTCATTTTTTTAACTAAAAAATCTTATTAAAAGCATAATTTATCAACTTGCTGATAAGAAAGATAAATATAAAACATAACAGGGAAGGAATTTCTTTGATTTCATGAACTATTAAGATGTAATGAAACAGATGGTAGGTAGTTTGTTCATAATTACATCTGTTAATACTTGTAAGCAACTTTACTAATACAATCCAAGATTATGTTTTCGTTTTATCCGTATGGTGTTTGTTTTCATAACAATAAAATTAATAAGAATCAAAAATAACATTAATAGTGTGCCAAATACGACTCCCACACATATTTAACACACTGCTGCTTCATATTGTCAAGGCCAGTCATATCTAGATGACAACTGTTGTCCTTTGTGTCCTTGTCACAGATAATTTTTTTTATTTACTATAATAAAATAAAAACATACATTAATATATTTTTGTAGATAATCATATAAGATTAAACATGTTTTAAGGAACAATAAGAATGATTAAAATGTCTTAGTACACCAATGTTAGTAGTCACAGTCACAGAAGGCAGGACTGAAAATTACATTGTATAACATAAAAACTATTCATGTTGGAGTAAATTTGATTACATACTCTGAAAATCATGTCTTAAAGCATATTCTGTTTGCACCAGATCTAACTTTTGCAGTTTGGAAGAGGCGAGCTGCTTTATAACAATAAAATAACTTCTATTTTGTTACAATATTTAATGTATCAATATATTGTCTGGCTAATTAAATGTACTTTATTTTACATATAGGTTTCTTTGCATTAACCACTCAGCAGTGAGCGATGACTTTAGTCGCCAAGGGCGATCGTGTGGCAGTGGTGAGGGATGGCTACAGTTGTCAAATTCTTTTGGGGGGGTATCGCCAAAAACTAGCCTAAACCTACCATGAAAAAAAATTCACATAAAAAATGAATTATGTAACAATAAAAAAACTTTTCTTTACTAGACATTACTGTTTATAAAATCTTTTTCCGAAACAGTAATGAGAAAAAACGCATGGAAAAATACTTTAAAAATTTCCCACGTTTATTCTCCACTACTGGGGGTAGAACCATACCCGACTAGTCCACTGTTGAAAGGTTAACAATAAAACCTTCAATTCTACTAAACGATACAGTTAGAGTTATGTGATCTGGCATAAAAAGCCACACACTTCCATAATGCAAATTTTGCCTAATGATTATCAAATATAGATGTTACTTGTATAAAAATGAACAATAATTTGGACACAGAAAAATGGTTTATGTATTCACTCTTCCTAAATATTTTCAAAAACAGTTTACCATTTTATTTACAATTTGCATTTCTCTTTTGTTCAAATATGCAAAATTTATTTTAATTACAGTTTCAAATCAATACCAAAGAAACTCTTAAAAGCAAAACTTAAAGTGATTTACCGGCGGAGGAACGAGTCTCTCGTCAAGAATATTCTCAACTGTTTGCTCCACTGAATGGGTTACTCTTAAATCATCCATTATCAAGCCAAATGGCATATTTGGAAACATCATTTGTACTTCACGAGCCTAAAAATGAAAATTATCAAATTATTATTAAAAATTAATTATTGTAAAGTTATCACTTCTATATATCATAAATAATAAAATATTTCATTTTCCAAACATTATGTAATATGAGTAAGTATTAAAGACTATCATTCTATGAGACAAGTTATCTAAGTATTCATACACAATGGTGCCAACTTTTTAAATATATTGTGAGGTCAGAGCAGGATTAAACTGGCTGTAAAAGTTTGAAAGAAAAATAAATATAAATTAATCATATCCAATGTTAATATTATGCATTCACTTATAGATACATTTAGATTAAGTTACAAAATATAATTGTCTAACATTAAAACTGGCCATTGCACACCTGTCATTTTGTGAATAATTATTTTTTACAAAATGAAAATTAGACAGATTTCTTGGTTTTTAAATATTTAAAATACTCAAATGTCTGAGAAAACAAAAAACCACAAAGACAAATGTTTATGGTACAAAATCAAAGTCAGATTGATTCTATTAAAATTACAGTAAGACCCCACTTAACACTGCCTCTCTTAATGCTGATTTGATATAACTTGGTCAGCTCAAAGCCTAAAAAAACTCGAAATTAAAATTAATTTAAATCATCATGGCATTTCTTTGATTCGTATATAATACAATTATTTGAGAACATAAACTAATCAGCAAAAGATGGCAAAAAGGTGTACTTTCTTTAAATCTATGTTTGTTTGGTGCAATTTTGGAAAAAAATATCATCATCATGGATGCCATGGGAAATATAGACTTCACTTGGCAAGAATTAACTGATAAATGCACGAATGAAGTGCGGAAGAAGTTATGGCTGAAGGTACTCAAGAATTCTTGACGCGAAGAGCCTATCATTGTATCGTTAGGTTGACCAAACCCAACCTAATCGAAACAACAGGATTAGGCAATGTAGACAAACAGGATATTGAGGAGTTACCGCAGGTTTCTGGTGAGAGCCTTACCAACGACGACCTTCAAGAACTGGCAGAACATGGAATTCACGTGGAACTGAAAAATGGAGTTTCTGAAAACAAAAAACCCAAAAAATTTCTCTACAGATTTCCTTAGTAAAAGTTTGGTAAGATAACCGAAATCGTTGATCAAATAGTAACGAATAATCCAGATTTTGAAAGGAGTGCAAAAGCAAAACGAGGCATTTTGGATGCAATCTCCTGCTACCAACATTTGCTTAAGGAAAGAAAAAAAAGCAACAAATGAAACTACACAACTTTATTGTAAAAGAACAAGAATTTCAGAAAAATCAGGACCTTCCACACAAAAAGTGAACTTTACATTTCTGTGTGCATATGTTTGTGTTACTTAACATATTTTTATATTAATTTGCATAATAATATAACTTAAAATTAGTTTATTTTTTATCATGTGTTCCCCCATCCCTATTTACTCTATGTTAAAATGACCTTGTTTAATGCTGTTTCACTTAGTGCTTTGTTGTCTAGAATGCATCACCCACGTTAAGTGGGGTCTTACTGTATCTTACACATTATTTAAAATTGCAGTATCACATATGCTAATTGACCCTGTGCAATTAGCATATGTGAGTAACATTGATGAGATGAGCATATTTTTACAAAACAATGCAATATTGCATATAATTACACAATAGCAGACAATATACAGATACAATCAATAATATGTATATTAGAGTAAAAACCACTTTTACTTATATGTATCATATACATTACCCAAAATATGTAACTTTTCCTGCAAACCTACATGATTTATGGATCAATAACCAAACTTCATTCTGCTTTCATCACAAAGAAATTATTCAAATGAACATACATAGAGAGAGCCCTGCATAAATTTTTAAATAATTTTATTTTTGGTAAATTATTTAAATTAATTTGTAGCCCAAAATAATGCAATGTCTGTAAGATAATGTTCACTATAATAATTTGTAATTGAAGTAAAATTGTCAGCTTTCAATATATTCATTAAAACTTGCTGCAATAAAGAAAACTATGGAAAGACACTAGTATTTATGTATTCTGAAGCTTTAATTATATCTTATAATTTCATTACTTTTAATAAATATTAGTAATTAATCAAGTATGGAAACAGTAATTTAACCCTTTAAAAAAATATATTTTTGGTGCAGTTTGGATCGGTATACACACATTCGATAAATATCTGAACAACAATTTGGAGATGTAAACTTTGAATTTTTCAGCTAGATTTAATTAAGGACATGCATTTCATAACATGAATGAAACTGGAATGAAAATTTAGCAGTCTTGTACAAATTTTGAGAAACTATTATTATAATTCTATACCATATATTTTTAATAATGTTTAGTATATACTTCTTGGCTCTCTTTTTAAATTCATTTGACATCTGACAATACCTGTTATTAGTTTATGTAATTTATATCACATGACAAAATTTTCTAATATTAATTAATTTCACCTGTTGTTTTCCCTGGGAAGAGGGGAAAAAAAAACTTTATTTTTCTGACTAAGAACTCCTTTTGCAAATAACCAGTATATCAGTGTAATTGTCCTAATAATACAATAAGTTCAGTTGACAATAATAGAATAAAGTATTCTAATATTAATTGTTGTTAAATTAGCCTGACAACTTTATGATTATTGTAAATTATACAGAGTTATTTACATATTCTCTTCTACATATGTTATTTATATATGCCCCATAAAATCAGTTTACAGTAATCCTCCCATTTATGTGAGTAACTGATTCCACAAAAACAACATGTAAACAGAGTCATGAAAGCTGAATGGTCAAGTAGTTAAGGTGACAGCCTACTGCTCCTGTGACCTAGGAATCAAATGAAGATGAGTAAAAAAACCACAGGAATTTTTTGGGATGTGTTCTGCCCAGATATATCAGGTTCCACCCTTCAACACTTGGCCACCCCACTGTGAGCTTTTGAAGAAAGTTGTTTCCTTTTATCATGTAATAGTAATGGAAAAAATATTTCCTCCTCTTCTGATTCAGCTCTTAACTATGTTGTATCAAACAATTCAATGAGAAAATTTTGATAAGAGATGCTACAAATAGATTCTAATCATTATCTCCAGCTTATTTGGAAGAAATCAAAAGATGAGAGTTGCACTTATCACCATGCAATTATTTTCTAATTTATCAAAATATATAAATTCTTGCTACTTATTCCTTTCTCATTATTATCTATTAAACATTTCTAGTGCTGCAAGTATTGAAGTTGAAATACAATACTTCACAGCTATTGGAATGCTATATAAAATATTTCAGAATACAAATGAACTGGCTGCTGAAAACTTAAATTCTAGACAATGCTAATCATGTTCTTTACATTTCATTTAGAAACAAAATATTAAAAAAAAAGATGAATTAAAAATAAAAGACTATTTGATATATGAAAAAAGGAAGTTATTGTTTAGAGCAGTGCACAAGTCAGATGAAAAGAAACAGAAAAGTAAATCAAAAATTTCTTCATATGGCAAAAAGTTATTGTACTGCTTTAGGATTTAATAATAAATTCAGAANATTTATATCTCATCGCATCATCCATCAAGAAAATCTATGTGCAAAAGCTATGCAATTAGAAAATGTAATGTCTGTCGTATCCAACTACATAGTGCTGTTTTTATTGTGTTTAAGTCACTTAAATTTTACAAATAGGTGAGCCGTTCACAGCCCGGCACACGCATTTGTAAAATCTAAGTGACTCATACAACATGGAATTCATATAAAACGGAATAATCAACAGTGTTATAGGGGGGTCGACTGTAGTAATTAATTTATTTTTATTTATTTATTTCATATTTGCAGACTAAAAATTTACAGGTCACAAGGTGTCAATTAACTACTATGGCCCGCGGAAAAAACGTAAAATTTATTCTGGCCCATGTTATAAAAAAGGTTGCCCACCCTTGTTCTGGACATCATTAGTAAATGCTTAAGTTATAAAGGTTTTTAAAATACAAAAACGCACATTAAAAATGCAATCAAAAATGGTTTTAACGTTTAAAAACAGTAAAATGGTAACACAAGGAAACCTTAAACGGGGACACTGCTGTAGAAAAAAGCTGGCCGCCTTAAAGAAGCACGAAGTGCCAAACTAAAAACGGAAGAAAATCCTTTAAAGAGAAGTGCGGGACGGTTCATAGACCGTAGTAGTATATAAGGCGACACTGACGCCAAAAAAAGTGAAGTACAAAGTAATACTGTGCGTAATAAAGGTCAGACACGGCTAAATTTTAACTAAGAAAAACCTCCGTACGAGCAAACTTGGGATTTTTAGTATTGGCTTCTTTGTGATGACAATAAAAGGTGTTAAACCAAACAATTACAGGGAGGGTGGTGAAGGTATGAGCGCCACGAGAGGCCATTTCGAAGAGATCGGACGAGTTGGTTTGCCGTTACTTTGTTTTTATGATGGTTAAAACGTAGCATACCTGTAGTAACTATGTGAGGAGCGGTCGTAAGAATTGTGTTGTTGGATTCGAGCAATCGGAAGATACCACAGGTAAGCGAAAGATTACATTTTAATGGGAAGTTTTATCTGCTATCTTCTATACCAAAAGCATTACTGAGAATATTTTGGATGGAACTATTCGGTTAAAACATTCTCTTAATGGGTAACGTTATCGTTCGGGTATTTATCATTGGATGACGGGTGCCGAAAGGATAGAGGAAAGGTCAACCCTTCATTCCCATTGACGAGATAACTCGTCAAGTTTACATAGCGTTACAGCAAACTGTCGTTTGGGCCCCCAAAATTTTTTAATTTTTGGGTGTTTTTTAGGTCTCCAAATTTTCAAAAATTTTTACCCGCGCGAAAAAATTTTATTGCGATTTTAATCAACCTTTAATGACGCGCGATTAACACTTAATAGTTTTTAATGCGATTTTTTTTATCAAATTTAATTCATCGTTCTAAAGTTGTAGTGCACGGATTTTACTTCGGTAAAGTTATTTAAAGCTGCTTTCTGATATCAAAAACGACCTCCAATAGTTTTTTAATTAATATATTTTATTATACAGTAGAGCGTCGTTTATCCGAATCAGTTGGGGACTGGGGTGGTTCGGATAACGAATCATGTACGAAAAAATATATTAATTTATCCCATGTTGAAATTTCTCTCCGTTGCGTGTCGCTTCGCGTTGAATTTTCGTCGATGTTAAGCCTAACGAAGACTATTGTATCGTTAAAAATTATTTTTTTATTTTGTACAAACAAAATAAATTTATTGAAAAATATAAAAACAATAAAAAATTATACTTCAGATGTTAATTTAGTATCAAAAACGTAAAATATTTGAGTAGCCCAAGAAATAGCCGAAGATTGCAGCGCCACAGCACTAGCGAAAATTTAAATTTGCCGACTGGAATGCTTTCGGATAAC